AATTCCTTTGTTTATTCTTATTTCTGTTTATTTTTCTCTTTTTAATCTCTTCTTTGGATTTTAGATGATAACCAGAATTATATTAACCACTATCTTACAACTTCGCCAAAAGTTGGTGGCAAAGTACTTCCAAAATTGTTTGAATGTTTATTGTATTTATAATATTGTAGCATTTTTTAAAATTGAAAATCATGTTCAGTATGTGTGATAAGTTTTTGAATATTCAGTAATTTACTTTTCACAAGATAAAAATCTCTTGCTTCAACAGCTACTGGAACCCAATGTGAATATTGGACTGGTGGGGCCTTGGGAAGTGAGCCTTCCATAGGGAGTATGATCCAGCTTCAGCAGTCCTTCAGGGGCCCTGAGTTTGCCCATAGTTCTATAGATGTGGAAGGACCCTTTGCAAACGTCAACAGAGGTAACGCATGCCATTTACCAATTACTTGCCTAGTGGTAGTGACTATTCATGTTCTATAATCTTGTGCTGGAAGAACTCCCATCAGCAGAGCATGAAATTTATATTCTGGGTGCTTTCCATTGACAAACTGTCATGTACTAGAACAATAACTAACCAGGGATGATGAGGTTGCATTATTCAGATTGGGATCAGACTGTGTTCTGGCCAGCCTTGCCAAAACCAGGTTCTAGTAACTGTGCTTCTGGTGTAAATTCTCAATGTTTTAGTTGAGCAGCAAGAGTCTGATGTGATTAACTGAGAAATAGTAGGTTATAGTCTTTCCCTCAGCTTTGCTGGTGTTGAAGGTAAGATAGAGCAGGCAATAGAGCAAAATACAAAAAGCTCTGTTAGGTATTATAGTACAGTTGGCCCCCTACGTATCTGTGAGTTCCACATGTGCAGATTCAACCAACCATGGATCAGAAATACTTGGGGAGAAAAACAATAAAAAATAACAGTACAACAAAAATAATACAAGTAAAAAATAGAATAACAACTATTTACAGAGCATTTACATTGTATTAGGTATTACAAGTAATCTAGAAAGGGAGGATGTGTGTTGGTCATATGCAAATACTACAACATTTTGTATAAGGCACTTGAGCATCTGTAGATTTTGGTATAGGAGATAGGTTGTCCTGGATATAGAGAGACGACTATGTTATAATATATATAACCTGCTGTCCAAAATAGCTCTAAGATTCTGTCCAGAATTTCAATATCAATATAGACCTAAGAAGTTATAAGTAGTTCTCCTTTTTCTTAAAACTATAAAATTATTTCTCCATTAACAAAATGAAAATGATTTTTTAAATTGTACTTTTTGCACTAGCCACAAATGCCTTAAAATTTTTATTCTCACTAAATATAGGTACTATAAGCCTACTTTTCATTTTATGCCATTCTTGAACTTTCTTTTTCACTTAATATTATTCAAAAATAATAAGAAGGTAAAACTATATCAGCCTGGAAATGTAGGCTCCCCTCAAGTAGAAAACTAATTAAAAAGTTTATGTAAAATAGTTCCATGAGATTTCACTGGAACCACTGGTATCCCAGGGAAGACCCCTGGCGACACTTACTTCTTTCAGTCCCAGGATAGAAATTGAGATTAGAAAATGAATTGCCTTTTAATATGTTATTCTGGAAGATATGTGGGTATTAACATGTGAAATCAGATTCCATTCTATGATGCCTGTTATGTTTTTTCAGACTTTTTTGAAGTCATTGTCTAATGTGTTTTCTAGTAATTTTTTCATGAACTGATGAGAAATTTTATTTTCAGATGACTGGGATATTGCTGTAGCTAGTTTATTACAAGTCACTCCCTTGTTTTCACATTCCCTATGGAGTAACACTGTCAGATGTTACCTCATTTATACAGATGAAACTGAGCCTGAAATGGATCTTTTCCTTAAGGTGAGGATATTTATAAAGTCTGTATTTACCAATTTAAAATACAAGTTAATATTATATTCTATTTATGATACTAGTATATCTAAAGCAAGTAATTTACTATCAACTAGATGATATGTCATAAAAAACAGAAAGCATCTTGGGCTTTTCCTCATGAGAAAATCATGTTTGGTATTATATGCAAAGAAGGAGAGGCAGTGAATTGAGGTTGTTTTTTTTTTAACCTTCTGGAAGTAACTCTTTTTGGATAGGCGCTAAGTCAGAAAAAGAAGGTTCTAACTAGTATAGTTAGTTCTGAATGTCAAATAAAGATGTTAGAACTTTATGTTTTTTGAATACTTCATTGCATATTCTGCACAGTGTTTAAGACCCTTGTTGATTCTCTACATTAGTTACTCTCTGCCAGCTCTATCTTTGAATCAGTTTCAGGTAATAACAAAATGTAATCCTTGTCATCATTTTTAGTTTTTCAAGGCAGCCACCAGAGTGGTTCTAAGGCAGGGGTATAGTTGGCAACTATAGCCTGTTGGCCAAATCTGGACTGTTGCCTCCTTTCGTTTGGCCCAGAGATTGGTTTTCACATTTCAAATGGTTGAAGAAAAATCAAAAGAAGAACAATATTTCATGAAATGTGAAAATTATATGAAATCTAAATTTGGATATCTGTAAATGAAGTTTTATTAGAACACTGTCATGCTTATTTGTTTATGTATTGTCTGTGGCTGCACTACAACAGCAATTCAGTGATAGTAAATTGTGATGAAAACCAAATAGACCACAAAGACACCTGCTAAAACAGCCACGTCGTTAAGCTATTAATATTATTATTTTTGTAAAAATATTTGCTATCAGGCCCTTTATAGGAAAAGTTTGCCTACTACTGTTCCAAGTGAATTTTATGTAAATCTGTATGTCACATGCTATACCTGTTATATTAACATCTTCCAGCTTATTGATTAATAAAATTATTTAGCTTTCCTTTGTGATATTACTCAATTTTAGTAAAAAGATAAAACATTTTAAATCCCAATGTTTCCATCTAATAATTGAATATAGGTTATTCCCAAGGACATTTTGAGGGTATTGCTAGTTTCTTCCATAATAAGAGTCATCATTACTTTGTAACCTAATTATAGGCAATAACATTTTTAACTTATATCTGTCTGCTTTAATGTTCTGATATATATCATGGTGGATATTTTTACTATGTAAGTCTATGGATCTGCATTTTACACTCATTATAAAAATAAATTGTTCATCATAACAACAAAAAAAGACAAATACCAAAGCAAAATAGCTTAATACTTTCTCATATTTACAGTTATTATAAAATAAGTCATTTTTTGAACCAGAAAATAGCCACATAAAGATACTGTTATTTTGGTTTTGGAGAGAAACTTGCCTTTTCTCTTTAAGATTTTCTTTAAAATGTGATTGTATTATTTTTAAAATTTTTTATTAAAAATACTCAATATAACCTGTTTTAAAGCATGCTTTTTTAAAGCAGTGTGAATCTCAGTAGATCTTTATTTAAATATAGTTATGCTTTTATATGTTTTATTTTGTTTTTAGGACTATGCACCTAAACTTAAAAGAATGTGTGAGATGATGGGCTATTTTTTCCATGCTGTTTATTTTCCAATAGATGTTGAAAATCAATACCTCACTGTAAGAAAATGGGAAATTGAGAAGAGTTCTTTAGTTATTTTATTCATTCACTTAACTTTACCAAGGTAAGCTGAGAAAAAATTGTAATTTATTATGGGCATTCAGTTGTAAATAGAATTGAGATTGCCAAATGAACCTCAAAGATAAATTCTAATTGCATTCTTGTAATCAAAAACAGTCCATGGGCTGCAGGGTCACACTGTGGGAGGCCGAGGTGGAAGGATCACATGAGGCTGGGAATTCGAGATCAGCCTGAGCAATATAGTGTGAGACCCATCTCTACAAAAAAATTTTAAAAAACTAGCTGGATTTGATTGCTCGCGCCTGTAGTCTCAGCTACTCTGGAGGCTGAGGCTGGAGGATTGCTTGAGCCCAGGAGTTTGAGGTTGTGGTGAGACATGATGACGCCACTATGCTCTGGCCTGGGTAGCAGAATGAGACTCTGTCTCAAAAAGAAAAAAGTACTTGAAGTTCAATAAATACTATAACTGTTTCACACTTAAGTAAAATAAAAATTAAAAGTTTTATGCTATTAGACTTGTATAATAGGTCATATGATTAACATCATTCCGTGTAAAGATCATTTTAATCAGGGATTGGCAAACTGCAGCCCAAGGGCCAAAACCACCCAGGAGTCTGCTTTTGTAAATACAATTTTATTGGAATGCAGCCCTATTTGTTCGTTTATATATTTTCTACATACAGCTGCTTTCATACTACAACAACAAGGTTGAGTTGTTACAATAGAAACCGTATGTCCTACAAAGCCTGAAATGTTTACCATCTTGTCTTACAGAAAAAGTTGATGACCCTTGATTTCAATAATCGACATTAACCTTTGTGTTTTCTTACTTTGGATATTCATTAAGAGATATTTGAACTTAAACACTTACATAGGTATTGAATCATAATTTAAATTCTGTAAGGAGCTTATTACTAAGATAAACCCAGTAAAGTGAATAATTTTCTTATAATGTGACTATAATCATGTTAATGAATCTTGCCTGCAAGTAATGATTTTTTTTTACCAATTAGACATATAGATAAAAGACAAAATAGGCTTAATAAGAAGTTAATTTTTCTTTCTAGATTTGTTATCTATATTTAACCTTCCAAAGCATTTTTATTTTTTTATTGTGGAACAACTCTGACTTTAACAATGTACCAAAGTATGTGAGGCCTTCCATTTCACCAGAGTTTCCCTGCCGTATAACCCATCATTGATCCTTAAGACTCCTAGTGGCCAGGTGGACAGGGAACTACCTGGTCAATGAGTCTTCATTGAGAATATGTTCAAGAAGTTCTTCAACTTGATTGGCTTCGGTTGAGTTTCATTACCTGTTCTTTCCTTGTTTTTATATTAAGGATATATCTTGCTTTATTACTTAATATTTGGGTAGTATTTTGTCTTGGTAATATGTGCCACTTATATTATTTTTCTTTAATTCTTATCTTTAATCCTTAAAACCATCTTGCTTTTTCTTTTTGCTTTTTTTTTGAGGCTTAACTGCCTGGTCTTCATTTTGATTTACTTTAACACATGTCTGGGCTGTTGGCTGGCATCTCAGCTGGGATTGTCAGCAGGCACGCCTACATGTGGTTTCTCCATGAGGTCTCTGCTTCCACATTCCCAGGATGGCTGGATTCTGACTGCATCTTAAGAGAATTAAGTGGAAACCATCTTGCTTTTTCTTTCCCTTAAAGAAACATGTATTAATGAAATATTGTATGTTATTTTTACACTTTTAACATTTATTTTATTGATTCTTTGAGACAGGGTCTTGCTCTGTCACCCGGGCTAGAGTGTAGTGGTGTCATCACAGCTCACTGCAACCTCAAACTCGTAGGCTCAACTGAGCCTCCTGCCTCAGCCTCCCAAGTAGTTGGTACTACAGGTGCATACCACACCTGGCTAATTTTTCTATGTTTTGTAGAGACTCGGTCTTGCTCTTGCTCAGGCTGGTCTCAAACTCCTGACCTCAAGTGATCCTCCCACCTCAGCCTCCCAAAGTGCTGGGATTACAGGCATTAGCCACCCCGACTGGCACTTTTATTTTAATAACATTTATTTCTATCTTCCAGTTTTAAACCCTTCTTAATATTTTGCCTCCTACTTCTGTCATACTTTATTACCTTTGCTTGGCAGATTTCAGTTTATTTCCTTTAAGTAAAATTTTGTATATTTTATGTTTTAAAAAATTATATTCTTTGTAAAGAATAAGAATTTCTTAAATTTAATTTTTTAGCCTCTATTTTGCTTAAATTTTTATTATTTCATTTGCTTACTTTATTTAATTTAATTTGTCTCTCTCATGGCTGTCAAGAAGTGTGGCAGTAGTGATGGGCTTCACACCACAGACAAGGGCTGTTGAAGCCTTTATATTTCTCAGATTGCTCCTTCACCTCTCCTGATGGCTCTCCCATCCTTCCCAAAAGATGAATCTAGAAAAATCTCCCCTGAACAGCTTGAGAAATCTATTGGGAAACACTTTGCTGATCAATAATTATTCCCTATGTGCAGATGGTACCCACAGAGTTACTTGAGGATGCTGTTCACTAGCTTCTCACATCATTCAGTCCTCATATAAGAAATTTTGTAGTTAAAAATTCCTAGTCTTTGGAATATGAAATGATTGAATTTGGAACAAGCTATGCCAACAACATGCTTAATTGTAGGAGAGGAAGGCAGGCAGGACGAGGTCTTGCTTGGTGAAGCACATGGGCGCCATGCCTCTCAGCTGTCATCACCAGAGAGGACACGGTAGAGGGAAATGGTCAGGTTCCTGGCACTGTTTGTCCAACTGTTCTTATTTACTGTCTTTAATTTGACCCATCCCCCTTCATGGCAGAATCACAGGAGAAATTTCTTACAGTAAGGAATGGCAACTGAAATACGGGGAGTCCAGGAGAGGCTGGGTGGGTAGAAAGATTCCAGATAAAGGTTTCAAGATGGGGTATTCTTTCCCCTTTACTGTCTCTCCTTCATTATGCCAGGACCCTTGCTGGGCAGTACAGGCTCTTTGGAGTGCTTGAACCTAAGTAGAAGGGAAGGTGCTTCTCCTTTTGGCTGGTAGGCTCTGGTCCTGGCAGTGCCTAGGAATGACTCTGACTGGTTTTCATCTGGGCATCATCAGTTTTTCTCAGGGGAGAGGAGTTCTCTCTTGGGAAGACTTCAGTGCCTAAAGGGTAATTCTGTCCCTTTCAGGAGTTCATAGGCCCTATTCTTGGTTTCATTCATCATTTTTTAACCAGATCACCTATACAGTTTCCTTATAGAATTTAGTTAAGTGGGAGCTCTTGTTAGTTCTATGATTGAACTTTCTTCATTACATGTCAGCCTCACAAAGCACAGCTCCTCTAGAAGCTCCTCCTCTACATTTTTGTCTACTCAGGCCACTTTCTGACTGCATCCCAAAGTGAAAATTATCACAGCAATTACTAACTCATAACCAATTTATTTCATCTGCACCATCTACTTCCCTCCCGCCAAATTATTTGAGCCAAATCCCAGAGATCATATCATTTCATCTGATGCCCTGTGTTTCAATTTTGTAGGGAATGGCTTTGAAATATGAACATGTGCCTGAACAGAATGCCCGCTCTTTGGTGGTCAAATGGGCCACAGACTTTTCTCCCAAAGCAATAACAAATGAACCATTAAAATTCCAGCGTCCTCAAAAATGATTTTAGCACAGAAAATTTCTATGGTTTGAATAGATTGGATTGGCACAGAAATATACAATAGGATATTACTTTCTTTTGTTTTATATTTGGGGCTAGTATTATAATTTAACTGGCCAATTCTGAATCAGGTAATAGCTCCCCCCTATGCACATACACTCCCAATTTGCCTCTCTAGACAATTTTTATTTAATTATTTCTAGAAAGGGAATTTGTTGCAATGTCCCTTGTGGTGTAGAAAACCTTAGTAGATTATTAGTTCTAGGATTTTTTTTTTTTGTAAAAAGTATAATTATGGTTCCCTGTAGAAAAGTTTAATTTTTTACCTCCAAGTTTTTGTTAGCCATCTAACCTCTCCAAATCTTCCCCCAGATGTTTCTTATAGTATATATTTTAGCCATAAGGATTCAGTTCATTTATTAGATGAGAAAAGGCTAACAGACTGGAGAAGAGAAAAATCTCAAAACTTTGCAATTGCTGTCCAAAGGGAGAAGCACCTTCCCTTCTACTTAGGTTCAAGCATTCTCAGAGAGCTTGGACCGCCCAACAGGGTCCTGGCATAATGAAAGAGAGACAATAAAGGGGAAAGAATACCTCATCTTGAAAACTTTATCAGGAATCTTCGTACTCACCCAGCCTCTCCTGGACTCTCTGTGTGTATTTCAGTTGCCATTCTTCATTGTAAGAGATTTCTCCTATGATTCTGCCATGAAGGGGAATGGGTCAAATTAAAGACAGTAAATGGGAACACTTGGCCAAGCAGTGCCAGGAGCCTGATCATTTCCCTCTACTGTGTCCTCTCTAGTGAGTGACAGCTGAGAGGCATGGTGCCTGTGTGCCTCACTAAGCATGACCTCCTGCCTACTTGTTTTAACTTGGAAATTACATATTTACAAATAGAAATGTTTCCATTGATTTGCAAAGTCTCATGAGTCGATCCACTGTTTTGAGCCATGTTTAATAGTATTTTTGAGGATTTTTTTTTGGTTTAAAAAGTAAAGTTACTTGTGCTTTACAATTTAATTTAATGCATACTTTATTGTACTTACTCTCATTGTTGGCTAATGAAAAAGTATTATAAGACCAAGCTGGAAGAGAACTATAAAATATCCATTTTTGGAAAGCTTCGCTTGTTTTGCATCTGTGGCTTTTCTGGCCACTTGTCATTGTAGTAAAACTCCATTATGGCACTTAGGTTGACTGAGTGTTCACTGCCACAGTGCAGTGTAGCACACAAAATGCCAATTTCCAATCTAGCCTTTTGTTGGAAGACTGTGAAGAAGCTTTTCTGAAGAACACTGAAGGAAAACCACGATTAATCTATCATCGTTTAGAGGATGGAAAAGTCAGTTCCGATTCTGTCCAGCATTTGATTGATCAAGTTTCTAACCTAAACAAGACCAACAAAGCCAAGGTAAAATTCACAGGATTTTCAGAAGAGCATGCTTGGCTGAGGGAAATGCTAGAGCAAAGGCATGAGGTGGGCATGGGCCTGGCATGTTTGGGGAGAAGAGGGAAGCCAGTGTGGCTGAAGCAGATGAGCGAGGGGTGTAGTAGGAGAGTTCTTCAATTGTGAAGAACATTGGAGGCCATTTTGAGAAGTTTGGCCTTTCCCTTGAAGTAAGATGGGGAGCCATTGCAAGACTTTAAGCAAAATATTGACAAGACTCGATGTGATCATCTGACAATGATCTTTTTGGCTACTGTGTTGGGAATAAACAGGTGTTTAGATGGGAGTGTGCATAATCCGAGAGCTGCTGGTGTCATCCAGGTGAGGGATGCTGGTGACTCAGAGCAGGGTGGTGATAGGAGATGATGGGAAATGGTACGATTCTGGATCAATTTTGACAGTAGAGCCACTGGAATTTCCTAACAGATTGGTTTTGGGCTCTGAGAAAAAGAGAGGAATGAATAGCAACGTGTGGCTAGAAAGAATATGAATCTGTGAATGGACAAATCAGATTGTTTTTTGTGCTTTCCTCCCAAGTACAGAGTCCTTCTATCTACTGACCAAGATGTAGTGTAAGGAGGAGACTTTTTAAAAAAATATAAACTATTTTTAAGTGTAGAGACAAGGTGTCATTTTTTTGCCCAGGCTGGAACTCCTGGCTCAAGCAATCTTCCTGCCTCGGCCTCCCAAAATGCTGGGATTATATGGGTGAGCCACTTCATAAGAACACTGGGAAAAACAAAAAGCTGATGATAGCAGTGAGAAAAATTTGATCATCCCTAGATGAATGACAGGATAATTTTTAGAGTAGAGATGACAGGTTTTCATTGCTGTACAATGAGGTAATTTGGTAAATGTGAAGAATAGAATTGAAAACAACTCTAGGATCTTGACACAAGTTTTTATTTCTCTGTACCCAGCCAGAAAATAAGGTCAAATGTAAATACAAGCACTTATATTTATATCATTTAATATTGAAAAGATAGCTTAAGACCAGCATGACATATGAAACCAAAGAGCCTGAAACAAAAAAGAAGTGCATTTTATAATCTTCAGAGCCATTTCATTCTTTGTTTTATTTTAGTATCAGCCTAGTCCACTAGGTCCCACAATAAAAGATATTCACCATCTTACCTTTATCCTATTTATTCTATAAATATGGCTTCTAAAAAATTAGTATACTGGAAGAATGAGGTTATTTTATAAAAATAGGAGCAAAATAAGATCTATCATGATTATAAATATAGGGTAAATTTCCATGCTGGTTCACTTGGTATGCTTTGTAAAATCATTGCCTTGTTCTAATTTTAATTCAAATATTAATCATTTTATAGCAATGTATATGTTCTTTACAGATAGGGCATTCTTTAAATAAGCTCAAAGGCTACTATTTTACATAGCAAAATACTATTTTGCTTTTTTGTTTTGTTAAGCTATTGCTTTACCGACAAAAATTGATTTTGATGCATTTTAAAGGATGTGTATGTTGAGTGGTATGGAAATACATAAGACAAAATTTCGACATTTAGGGCAAAAAAAACGTATACTTTTTGTTTTATTGCACCATTGTTCACATTAAATCCTTTGTGTGACCTTGGACAGGTTACCTAACTTACCTTAGTGAAATGGAGATAATAGTAATGTCTCCCTCATAAAGTGGTTGTGAGGATAATTGAGCGAATATATGTTAAGTACTTGGAATATTTTCTGACACATAAGCACTATGAAAGTGTTTCCCACACCACTTCCTCCTGCTATTATTATTTTTTGTTCTTGTTATTGTTAAACTTTTTTTTTTAGATCATTGATCACTCAGGAGATCCAGCAGAAGGAGTATATAAAACTTACATTTGTGTGGAAAAGATTATTAAACAGGTAAATATGCATTCACTGCAAGATTTCATCTAAAATACTTTAAGACTGTTTTCTATAAAATTGAATTTTCCAGAGAAAATCACTGTTTGTGTTTTGAAAACAGCACCTGAGGGAAGTGCCATTGTTTCTCTTGGGAGTCCGCAGTGTGACTGTGGCATTACTAGGACCATGTATCTTTATCTCTCATCTGTCTCACAGAGCTGTTTGATGCTCTAATACATGTAGAATGTAAAATGTGTTACCTAAGTACTAGGTAAAAAGTAGTTGAGGGAAAATGTTCATTTTATTCAGTAGAGAAGCTCCTCAGATTCTGTTTGCCCTTGAATTTTCATATATTAGAAAAGTCCTCAGATTTTCCTATCACGTTATCCCTAACAGCAAAGAGGGTTGAAAGCAAACCTCCAGGGGGATGAGAACATGGACTGTGGAGGGGTCTTGAGCTGGGAGTTTCTATGAAGTTTCTTATGTTATCTTGAAAATGTATGTGCGTTATGTATTCTGCTTGATTTTATACCTGTGTTTATGTTTAATATAAAAAAATCATTTTTAATTATGTATCAGAAAAAATAGTAATAATTATAATAAAAAATAAATAACCTTCACATGTTCAAGTAAAATGAGCACAATGGGAAAATGTACTGTGGTTAGCCTGGAGTTGCCTATACCTCCTGACATCTCCTCAGGGAACCAGGGGCCCTATTTGAGAAGTAAGGGATTAGATTATTTTTCATAATTAAAAGACTAAATAGGACAACAGAGATATCAAGAAATCACATATTAGCAATTTAATTCTTCTATTTCTTAGGCATTAACACAACTTTTATAATTATTCACTAGTTGTTTATAACCAAAGATTTTGTGTAACATATTTCAGAAAACAAATCCCATGGAGGTCAAATATCCCTCTAAATTTACTTTTAATAAAAAGTTCTTTGTTTCTAATGTTTTAGAATTTTTTTATTTGTTTTTAAATTAGTGTTTATTTTTATAGTTATAAATGTATTCTTGTGTGTATTAGACAAAGGCCATAGGTTTGAACTTGCCTTCCTCAGTAGGTGAAGCACATTGAGCCTGTGCACTAACCCCTGCTATGAGATCTTTATGTCCTTCATTCATTTTTGTGTGTTTGTTCTTTGTGTTCAGGACATATTGGGCTTTGAGAACACAGACCTGGAGGCTAAGGATTTGGGTAGGGAAGATTCCATTCCAGAAGAAGATGATTTTGGTGATGTTCTGTGGGACATACATGATGAACAAGAGCAAATGGAAACTTTTCAGCAGGCATCTAATTCAGCCCATGATTTGGGATTCGAGAAAGTAAGCATTTGGAGTATTGTTCTAACAAAGATCAGTCACCACTTAAAGGCTGTATTGTTATTGTATTTTCACCTAAATATAGTCCAGGTTTTTGATTGTGTTAGTTATCTGTTCTTATGTCTTGATTATGCATGTTGAGATATGCTTAGGTTTGTACAATATGAAAGATAGGAGATGCAAATAAACTTAGGAACACCAAACATATTTAGTTACAGGTTAGGATTTACTAACCACATGTTCATAATGCCACCATCTGCAAGTCCCAGGCAGGATTAGTATAGCTGGGACACTTGAGAAGAATAGTAAAGCTATTTACTCTTCCTAGTTCTTAAAGGAATCAAAATATCAAACATTCAGAAAACAAAGTACAGTAGTTCATGCAGTAGGCAGTTTCTTATTGGTCTTGCAGCATCCTTAAATATCTAAACAAATTAATAGAACTTAAAGTGTACAAAGAAATCTATGTCCAAGTTCAAAAATACTTAATATTTGAAAAATAAAATAAGAACTAATATTTTAAAGTATATTACAGTAACTAAAATTAACAGTTATATTTTTATAGAACTTTTATAATTTGGACTGTATGTTTATGTGCTGGTTTCATCACTTTCTAACTGGATTTTGATCAGATTACTTGGCCGCTCTAAACTTGACTTTCTTATCTGTAAAATGAGAATAATTAATAGTACCTGCCTTATAGGGTTCCTGTGAGGATTAAACCAGATAATGCACATAAAGTGCTTAGCACAATACCAGGCACATAATAGATGTTAAATAGGCCAGGTGAAGTGGCTCATGCTTGTAATCCCAGGACTTTGGGAGGCTGGGGCAAGGAAGATCACTTGAGGCCAGGGGTTCAAGACCAGTCTGGGCAACATAGTGAAACCTTGTCTGTACAAAAAATAAGAAAAATTAGCTGGGCATGGTGGCTCATACCTGTAGTTCCGGCGACTTGGAATGCTGAGGTGGGAGGATCCCTTGAGCCCAGGAATTTGGGGCTACAGCAAGCTGTGATCCTGCCATTACACTCCAGCCTGGAGACAGTGTGAGATCCCATCTCTAAAAGAATAAAAATAATAAAATAAATGTTAAATTAGTTGTTATTTTATAAGAGAGTTTTATTGGTATTGTCATTTTATAAATGAAGAAACTAAGTATAGTGAACCTCAGTTCACCATAAAAGCACATAGGGAGCAGATTGTAGATCTGGGAGTTGAATCTAGTTCTTCTGGCTCCAAAACCGTATGTGTTTTCTTCTATAGCAAGAGTTCTTAACTTGGGAGCCATGCGTCTATAAGTGGGCTTTATGTGGGACCATGAACTAAGTTACTGGGGTTTACAACATAATCAATAAAGCCTTCCTTCACTTACAGGATGCTGCAGGGTGCTCCCTGTATCACACTTCCTTCAGAAGCATCATTTCTATCAGAATTATTTGAGTTCTTGGGGAATACATTCTGTATTTAGATATAACAAGCATACAAAATGATTGAACAACTATACCAAGTAATCATTTATAGTACTTGCTGGAGAAGTTTGCTACTTTTAAAGCCAGCCTAACTCTAGCCACAAAGTACTTATAACACATTTTTTAAAAATTCCTCATCATTTAACCACTGGTACACCTAAAGAGCATCTCAACTTCCAAGATAACTTTGGAAACACTTTAAAAGTACTAAGATACTTTGTTTTCTGAGTGTGCCCTTTTCAGCTCTGAACCAATTCAGAGCTGGGAAATATGGGTTTTGGGACTTCACATAGAACTTACTTAATTTCAGCAGGATCTCAGGCACCCTGTCCTAACCTGATTCTCTTGGGCAGGTTGGGAGACTCCAAGGCCCCAGATGAAACCTGCTGTTATTTGAACCTATTGTCAGCAATACCTGGAAACTGAGATGGTCTTCAGGACAGGTGTTTGTTCTTCTGACCAGGAAAACTAGTATGCCTGCCAAGGCCCTCAAGGCCTTCTGTGGTACTTTGTGTGATTTGGGGGCTACAGTGTGATGCAGTGAGCTCCCACAGCATTCTGCAAACATCTGAATGTTGCTAAACCCCACATGGACCTGATGTGTTGTCACCCATTAATTTTCAGCAATATTATGTATAGAAGAAATTGGGGTCCATTCTTAGTTTACTAGTTCAGGCATATTTCAGCAGTCATAAAAAATAAGCAATTATGAGAGTACTGTCAACTAAAAGTAGATTTCGTTTTCTCCAATGCTTTTCTCCAGTGCTTTCAGAGAATAATCAGAAGTTGACTCTCTTCAGAATTCTCAGAGGCATTTGTGTGCTTTCTCACAATTTAAATTCATTTTTGTTCCTAGTATTACCAACGCCTTAATGATCTAGTGACAGCACCGGCCCCGATTCCACCCCTTCTGGTGTCTGGAGGACCAGGTTCTGGAAAGTCCCTTCTTTTATCAAAGTGGTATGATGCAGTGCAATTTAATTGTTCTTATCATTGTTGTCTTTTCAATTACTGAGTTCATTCAACAAAATGTATTGCATGTCTACCTTCTGCATGGCCTAAACATTTAAAAAGCACAAAGGAGTAAAATAATAGGCTCATGGCCTGAAATGTATAGAATTTAAATGTCAGAAGATACGGAATGAGAAAGGAATAGGAAAGTGAGCATTTATGATTATGTACATAAATTACATAAACAAGAGCTATGGCAGTGCTGTTAAGGGAGTGATCAGAGTGACATGGAATTGGGTGGATTATAGAGGAATGTGCCTTTATTTTTAATTATTCATCTTAAAAGTTTCATTGGGATTTTAAGTATTTGAAACAAGACAAAAACAGACTAGAGTAAAATAAATCCTGCAGAACATCAAAATTAAGGGTAACCTTTACTATGAATGCAATCTAGTTTGTCAAATTACAGACTAAGGTTCATATAAGCTAATAAACTTTGTTATTTCATTATATTATTTGAAAACAAGTAATAAGAATATTTTCTTTCATTACTGTTTACATTGAAGAGTTAGTGCATGTAATTGTTTTCTTCCTATTGCCCTTTCATTTAAAGTTATGTTTGGAAAATAATATTTTTATACCTAACAAATTTTTCTCTAATACATTTTTAATTAAAAGTTAATGCTTATCTTACTAATACCTTAATCTCCAATGTAAACTACTTTTGTTTACATTAATTAACATCAATTTGTATTTAAAATGAATCTGTGATTTTTTAAAAATATTATTTAAAAGAATCTATAGATGGAGTAAAAACAGAAATCTCTGTATTTAGTCAAAAGCGACTGACCATCTTACAGATAGGCAGCATTTGATGTTTAGTGTATTGTAAATTCTCTTTTATGTTGACAGTAACGGAGCTTCATCAGTCTTATTGAAGTTCTTTTTCTTTCAGGATTCAGTTACAACAGAAGAATTCCCCTAACACACTGATTCTTTCTCATTTTGTGGGGAGGCCCATGTCAACCAGCTCAGAGTCTTCCTTGATTATTAAACGACTTACTCTAAAGGTATAGTATGCTATCTTTTGGAATTATCAGAATTTTATTTAGATTCGGAAATTGTTGGGACTAATAAGTACCTAATGATAATTAGGTGCCTAATTTTCAATATTATCCACTTGTTTTTTGTATAAGGTTAAAAATAATACCCAATGAAATCAGGTCCTCTTGGTGACGCAATTTTGGTTTAAAAAGTAGGGATAGACATATTTCCCACCATCTCTGATAAAGTATAACTTCTTTACTTGCTCTGTGTTCTGTTCTTGCAGTTGATGCAGCACTCTTGGTCAGTGTCTGCTCTGACATTGGATCCTGCTAAGCTTCTGGAAGAATTTCCACGTTGGCTAGAAAAACTCTCTGCTCGCCATCAAGGCAGCATCATCATCATTATTGATTCTATAGATCAAGTTCAGGTACTGTTTTCACTTTGTAATTTATTAATGTACTCAGACAAAAATATCAGTAATGGCTATAGCAGGCATTTAAATTATATGTTTATGAAAAGGAAATGTTGTTTCTTTTATTTCTGCTTAATTTCTAAGGAGGAAGCATGTGGATAAAAAAAAATGTATTGTATGCCAGTAGACACTAGCACTGTATTGGGAAAGACAACCAAATTTACACAATTAGGAAAGTATTCGTTTTGACATATATTTAGGGCTTTGACATTTCCTTAAATGTCTAGAGTTCAAATTGGTGATAATGGTGTTTTGCCACTTGTTCTTTTAAAAGTCTACAATAGATCATACAAAGATGAGATTTTTATCCTTAATAAAAATAAGAGAAACTTAATGGGAATTTTATTTGGAGAGCTATTACTGAACTGTTTTGAAATATTTTGATTAATAGATTGAATTTTGTTTTTATATTTTTAAGCAAGTTGAAAAACACATGAAATGGCTGATAGATCCACTGCCAGTGAATGTAAGAGTAATTGTTTCTGTGAATGTAGAAACATGCCCTCCAGCATGGAGGTACGATGCTAACTTTAGTTCTTTCAGATTATGTGAAATGTTTTAAGTAGAAACAGGGAAAGGTTTTTGAGATGCATTTGTGTTTTTCATATAAGTGGCAGTGAGGGTGGGGAGAAGTGGATGAATTCAAGAAGAAGATACAATCCATAGGATTTAGTGGGAGATTAGATCTGGGATATGAGGGAAAAGGATGATTCCTGAGTTTCTGACTTGAGAAATTAAGTAAATGTGGTTTCATGAACTGAAATTGGAAACACAGAGGACAGGAAAGTTTGTGGGGGAAAGGTGGTGAGTTTAGTTTTTGGACATGGTTTGAGTTACCAGTTGTAGCACCAAGTAACTGGTAGGCAGTTAAATTTTTGGATGAGGAAAACAGGGAAAGGGCAGAGCTGGGAATAATAGAGTAGACACCTGTTATCTTGAAATTCAGGCTCACTTTAATGGCCATCAAAAAAGTAATACAGTGGTTGAATTCTGTAGGGCAGTGTTGTTACTCAACCTATTTTTGCCCCCTAAGAAGCCTTTTTAGATATTTTCTTTCTAATCACCCCCCCTAAGAAATTTCAATCCCATACACATACTATATATAAACAGATGTATGTGTGTATTTGTGCTTTATACATAAAAAGAGTAAGGTTTTTTTCACTTCCCCAGAAGAAACAATTTTCACTACCACGTTGAGGATGCATGTTTTTATAATTAAATTCCAATTGCATTATAAGTACTTATGGACAACAACTGTGTCTTATACCAGTCCTCATACATAGGTGATAATAGCTGTGCTTAGTTTTACTGATAGCATAAGATGTAGAACTAGAAATATCTTACTATTTAACTGTCTAATATATATATACTATTTATTTTGTAATACTCTTTGTTGTGATTTATTGCTGAAAGTAATTATATGTATGTTAGAAAGAGTGAAATAAATTACTGGTTTTTCATATGATTAAAAGAGATTGGTTTTGATTGTTTTATAAAGGTAATATAAAAACAATTAATTCCTGTCGTGGATTCTAACTTGTAGGTAGATTACAGTTCTTGATGTATTATTAGAATTCCATTTTTCTTTTCTTTAAATAAAAGGTTGTGGCCTACACTTCATCTTGATCCTTTAAATCCAAAAGATGCAAAATCTATTATAATTGCAGAATGCCAGTCTGTGGACATTAAGTTGAATAAAGAGCAGGTAAGTATTTTTAATTTTGATGCTGTCTTTTACTATCAGCTTTCCTATAAAAAAATCTCATGAGACTTAAAATTCAATATAGGAGCTCTGTTGTTATAGGGAAAATTGGAGTTTAGTAATTAGTAAGTACATTCCCTCTTAAACTAATGACAGGCAGAGAGAAAGCAATAAAAAAGATCTAGGTCCCAATGTTTACTTTACTATATAATATTAGGCAGGTATTTTATAAGCAAAAAATATTTGCCATGTCTGTGGTCTGCAGTTGGGAGGCTGACCATAGCCAAGGATCTTGCACTACACAGTGTGATGTTCCTGATGGCAGAAACAGTGTCTTTTCTGCTGGGATATTTATTGCTGGCTCAGTAGTGAAGACCTCTTAATTCCAGGATGGTTTTTGTATTTTCATTTTGTTTTTT